ACTTTTAGGAAATATGTGTGTATTGTTGTCTTTACATTATATTAAAAGTGATTGCGACTAGCTTACATCCAGATGAATCTGGTCGCTCATTAAAAGAAAAAAAACATAACAGAGAATAATGAATGAGTGTAGGTTCTATATTGAATTTATTAAATGAGTTAAAAATAATGTTATGCGAAAAGGTTCAATAAATTTAATAAATAAGAAATTTCCTATTGATTTGAGGTGCGGTTAATATTGAAACGCTATCATTTAGCGTTATTTACACGACCTAGCCAAACAGTTTTTTTAATTTTAAATGAAAGGAACGTCATACATGTATTTAATCAAAACAGTTACATGCAATTCATGAATTTGCCTATCATATTCTGGCATTTTTCCACAAATGCCCAAACAAAAACAATCAGTTTCTTTTAAAAAATGTATTGTAGGTATCAGCAATAAAAGAGTGACATTGAAATTTGTTTATTAATTTCTTGAGGTAAACATTTTACCGACTATGAAATATAGTTTAAATTCGATGTTTTTATCCATGCCGGAAACAATATAAAACCGTCTGAAACCTTTAATGCCAGACAGCTCATGCGCTCAGATGACGTCAATTTATTATATACTTATAAATGAAATATTGAGAAATATTGATGAAATAAAATGCGTATTTTCATTTTCCGTATTTTCACTGTAAAAATTTATTTTTCACTGCAGTGAAACATATTTTCCGTATTTTCACTGGTGTCTTGCCGGACTACTTTCTTTTAAATTCTGCCAGTACACAAAATTTAAGGGAAAGTCTTTTAAATTTTAATGTCAAAAAAGAGAAAAATGTATATAATAAACAGAAAATTCAAGTTTTTTCTATAAATACATGATTTATTTTCATCTTGTGGCATGAAAATTACCATATTTCACTCGTGGCTACCGCCACTCATGAAATATTTATTTTCATACCACTCGATGAAAATAAATCATGTATTTATAGAAAAAACTTGAATATCCTCTATATCTTTATGAAAGAACGGTTATAAAAATTACTACGCCACTATGAAAATACTATTTACGAAGCATATGTAAGTGTTCATCCGTCCTGTTCTACAGAAATAAGAAACTTAGACTTTTTCTTACATTAGTAATAAAAATATATATAAATTGACATTTTGTCTTGGTGTTTACTTTAACACGTGCAGTATCTTTATCGCCAATACGTGAATTTAAATCTGAACTGCATGTATATCCTTTATCCATAAATATAGGTTGGCCTTTTGACGTCATTTTTACTTAATTAATATTCAAAAGCGGCCGACGAAAGCGCATGTGCAAATTTATGCAAATGACTTTTTTTACAAACGCGGTTATATGAAGCAATGTGACAAATAGAGGACGACTATGAACGGAATTTGATATAGTATCGACTTTTGTTCTTCTATGAAAATTAACACAAATAATTTTGAAGAAATACAGCGTTTCCATCGGATGACAAATAAAGTTGGACGCTTATTTAGTGTCCAGTTTTATTTGTCATCCAATGAAAACGCTGTATTTCTAAAAAATTCTTTGTGTTAATTTTGATAGAAGAACAAAAGTCGATACAATATTAAAGTCCGTTCATAGAAGCCTTCTATTTTTCTTAGTGTCCATCTTTATTTGACACTAAATGTGTAAGTATTCCTCCGAAGCTGTGCTACAGAAATTAGAAACATTCTCCGGTCGCTATCGCTCCCGTCGAAGTTTCTAATTCTGTAGAACAGCACGGATGAACACTAACATATATATAGTGCTTCATAGAACCGCGTTCGTAAAATTAGGTATAGAGACGTCATAAAGAAAATATTTATGAAGCCAAAATAAAGGTTGACACGAAGTATCTAAGTATTCATCCGTAGCTGTTCTACAGAAATTAGAAACATTCTCCGATCGCTATCGCTCCCGTCGAAGTTTCTAATTTCTGTAGAACAGCACGGATGAACACTAACACATAGATATTTGAACTTTGGGATCAAGTTTAACTTTTGACGACACTTTACAAACCACAAAAAGTGGGATAGCTGCACTATTTCGAGTAAGATATGCAAGAAAATATATTAATCGTGATTACATATCGAATTTAGATATTTCTATCCGGACAGATATTATTATGCAAACACTAAATAATATTCAGTTTCTTTGTATATGTTAGTGTTCATGAATACTAACATATTTAGTGTCAAACTTTATTTGGCATCATAATCACCCACTTTATTACGTCACTATGCCGTTCTATGAAGTACTATGAAAAATAGAAGACGACTATGAACGGAATTCGATATAGTATCGACTTTTGTTCTTCTATGAAAATTAACGCACATAATTTTTAAGAAATACAGCGTTTTCATTGGATGACAAATAAAGTTGGACACTAAATTTGGTTTTACACATTCTCTTATGTCTGGAAAGACCTGAGCAACAAACCCAAAACTAACTGATATATAGAAACTCTATTATGCAGAAATATGCGCCGTACGTTATCATTGATATTTGTGCGCCATACGTAATCATTTCCAGGAAATGCTCCCATATGAGTATTTACAGCGGTTATTTTAGTCAGAATTGGCATGAACGCTTTTAGGACGACATATTACAACTTTTTAAAGTCAGTGGTTTCAGTTAATATACATATATATAAACGAAACAGTGAATTTTAGAGAAGAAGCCGTACGTTACCACGATCAAACCGGTGGAAAATTTTCTCGCTTCGAATCTGGTGACGCGCATTTCAGATGAAGTACCGGACAAAACATCATGAAATAAAATCCTGTGTGCCCGGAAAATTGTGGAGAAGGTTGTTATATGTACCTTAACACAAGAACATTACGAATTTCAGAGAAAAAAGGGGGAAATTTACTTTTATTTGGCTACATCCGCCATCTTGTTTGTTTGGGTAACGAACGGCGTGATTCTCCCCCGTGAATATTGCCGACTGAAATCATGCAAGCGAGTTTGTAAGAGTGCCCAGGGTAAGTCCCTGGCTGAACGTAGTTAAATATGATACATGAACAAGTGTTGCACGGCTATTGTTACATTGTCTACCCAGTTCTATGTTGTTTTAGTCTGTTGCCAGTTATATGTTATCTATATAACTACTGAAACATATAGAAATATGTTTACACGTTTGAACCCTGATTTGATGACAAGTACAAAAACCTTTTTTGTGAATCTAATCTTCCATTATTAGTTAATATACAGAATTTTGACAGGTTATATGGCCCTATATAAACGGCTGTTTGTACATGGTCCGCCCGTTAAGGCACAAAACGCAGCTTTTGCTGTCAACCAACCCCTATTATGTCACCAGTCATGCCCTAAAAGGGTTCATTTTGAAACACAAAGTGGCAATAATTTATTTCCAAGCAATTGCCATGGAGTATTAGTAAAAGATATGAATTTTGAGTAAAAATTAGGTCACCTTAGGCCGTGCCTACTGTGTAGGATCATTCCCTACGGCTTTAGTCAGGACATCAGCAGCTGGTCCGCAGGTACAAGCTCTGGTCTTTATTGTTAGTCTGTTTGTTTTTTGTTTGTTTGTGGTTTTTTTCCCTTTGTTTTGTTTTTCTTTTTTTGGCGCCATCGCAAGTTCTTCAAATTTTCTGCCGATTTCCTGTTTCTCCACGACGTGCACGTACGAGGAGAAGAAAGAAGAGACGAGTGTTAAATTGCAAACAACCGTTCATATACGGTCATATATCATGTCAAAAATCTTAAGAACGAATTTATTATAATTCAAACTCCCTTTTTCAAAAGCATTACTTCATAATTTCGCAACAGCTGTGTATATACGAGTAGTTTATATACATGTATAAATGTCATGGGTGTCCAATGAAAAGCGACATTGCAAACGTGCAGTATTATAGAATGACCTTTCAGAAATTAGAGATGATTTTGAATTAAATACTAAGTAAATACAAAACGCATGGGTTTGAAGTTTCTTTCCTGGTCTCATTTATTTATTTATTTATTTTATTTAGCTGATTTGGAAAATAAATCAACATCCAGAGAAAAGGTCGACGACACGGATACCTTCCAGATAGTATGTGAATACATCGCCGTGTGTTTGTCTGCCTTATTTATTCTTGTTACCTTTCCAATAACTCTACCTTCCAGCATAAAGGTATCTTTCTGCTATTTGAATATTTCGTCTCGTTATATACAGCCATATACATTAAACAATAAAACATCTTCACTACTTTACTGTTTTCTTGAACCAAGATTGAATGATAATTATTGATATATACTCAACTAGACGTTTCAGTTTTGTAGAATAGTTATGTGGTTTCATCTGTATTTGTACGGACATAAAATAGTGAATGACAACTCTTTCAGTGATGTTAAAATCAGATTATTTCCTGACTCTTTAAATGAATCGGTACAGCTTCCATTTTGTTACAGACCATTATCATTATTTGGGATATCAGAATGAAAATTTGAAGTTGGTCAACCAACAGTATACAGCCTGGTCATTATGGCTAATCACTTTAGAATTCAGCAGGTTATTGAGCGTTTAACACATTGTGTATTTGATTAACACTGTCCTCTTAACCAAACCTTGCAATGTTTCGGTACGTCAGTACCAAATTGGCGGCATATATGGTTGACAATTACATGCTGGGATTTGATAGACCAACAATTCATCAGAATATACATTCACTTAATATGCAATAAAATTTTAAACGTAACTACTGAAATGTTGAAGACATTAAACCTTGTAACATTGGTTTAATGGTAGCGTTTTATGAATGCGTTATAAATTTTCATGTCTAAACTAATTTATATACATGTCTAAGGACCTAACACTGAAATATTTACTTCAATATCGCCACCGCATGAAAATAATTAGGGTAAAAACAGATATAAAATAGCAAGTGCTAAATAAATATAAAGGAAGACTGTATTTTATATGTATAAACACCCAGAAACTACATTTTAGATACTTTTAATTTTCAAAAATATGAAAGGGGGTCGTCGTTAGAATGGGCAGAGATCGTAAGAAAGAGTTGTTGAAACCAGGTACATTTTGATATTCATTTTATTTCTTTATTCAAACATTAGAAATTTTGAAAATACCTTATTTATAGGAGCTAATTATATTAGTCTAATTGTTTAAGATAAAAACTTCCGTAATCATAAACCGTGCATTGCTGATTGTAATTCCTGTGTATATAAAATATTCACGGGACATAAATTAACTATGAACATCTAAAACAAATGATTTCCCTTACTAAAACATCAAAATTGACACCAACGTTTTTGCCCTAATTTCGATAAAGCATTGATATTGCGCTGTTGAAAAATAAAAGAAAAAAGGGCTTTTAAAAAGTCCCACATGATGTAATTGTTTTTCTAACGGTTCATAGGGCATAATTTTAAATAAATTTTTCAACTTCTTTAAAATTAAAAGGTTTTGTTTTTGTTTTTTCCATGTACGATGATTAGGCTTAAGATTAGAAAAAATGTTTGAAACACCCAAAAAGGAAACTTTTTTTTATATTTTTTTGAAATATTTATCAATTATATGTAACATTGATACACCAAAAATTATTATTCTTTATATGAGAGTTTTACGTTTAACTGATTATATAATTTTTAAAAAGAAGTTACGTTCGTTTTTAATAATTTTAAAATTTTCGTAAAGGGTTCGCAGAAATGTTGAGTAGATTATGTAAATTACATTTTATGTTTAGGTTCTTACAAAGGACTCCGTGTCAATCGAGATAAATGCCGCACTTACAGTAGAGGTAAGCAAGCCATATGAATGTATACTGGTAGGACAGGGTACAGATATTGTAAAGGGAATGGCGTCAAGACGAGCACTGACGTCATTAAGAGCTGTCTGTGGGAAACTAACTCTATCCGAGATAATAGAAGGCCGAGAAAAAGTGTCTAAACAAATTAAGGTAACACATTCAAATAAAATGGTAATATAATGAAAACTTTCATTGTTTTCATCATGGTATTCTATTTTACAAATTGTAAGGCTCTCAAAAAAACTTGTGACTTATAAAATCTAAGCGTCGTCATTTTCCCTGGTCCTTCAAGATAATTTGATTCTAATTTTTGTATATAGTGTTTATAATAGATTGTTTTCAAGTCATTGAAATATCTCCTGAACAGATTTTTCAGATCGCATTTTAATAGCATGTTCGTTGTTTGAGGGACAGGGTTCATTCACTAACAAAATTGTTAGCAAATTCCTATAGTTGTTTTGATTAATGAAGACCTCAACAATATTGTTTTTATCATTTATTTTGAAAAGACGATGATGAGGAAAAGATGGGGTAGAACAGTAGAAGTTACCAGAGTGGAAATGCAAGTACAGTTTTTATATACATTGTAAAGTAATCGATATATCCTAAAACGGAAAGTTGAATAGGAATACAATTTGTATTGACTTTTTGTTGACAAAAGATTATCACAATATATAGTGCAATATTTCAGAAAGAAAATTCAGTCCCTCTTATTTCTGAGTAATTTAACAGAAGACAAAGTATTTTCCAATGTTGAGAATAAGAAATTGTACCTTTTATTAGTAGCATTGGAAACAATAAGTAATTAAGTCAGAAAGTGTAAAGAGGGCACTAATCTTTTAAGTTAACAAGTTAATTTAAATGGGTAATCTTAGATGTTGAGATGTATTAAGCAACTAGTATCAAAAAGAAAAAAAAGGTAACAAATGTGTTAAAGTTGCTTCAATTTTCTTTATTAGTAAAAACATCAGTATGCCAAGTGATATGGAGAGGGTGATGGCTGGTGAGGCAATAAGTAATAGACAAGCTAAAGCGAAGGTATGAATAAACATAGGAAAACATGATAACCATGGCATTTGCATTATTCGAGTTATTTAGAATGTTGTGTACAGATAAAAAATGCTATTGTAATATTGTGAATGAATTAAGTTAGAAATTGTCTAAAGTATCAGGACATCACAAATTTTATTATTGATTGATTTCTTATTTTTAAGAATACAATACAAAGAATCATATTATTTTGTTTTGTTTTTATTTCCAATATATTTCCAAACATCTTGTTAAAATGTTGGCCAAAATGATGTGTGCATACACCATACATGTAACAATTGTATTTATAAGTAATTAGTTTAATTTTTAGAATTAAAAAAAAACTCACTAAAACTGATATACATAACATATAGTAAGAAAATAATTTAAATCCGGCAATGTGTAATGTTTCAGGTGATAGCTGCTGGTGGAGAAATACGTGCATCTCGTGCACTTAAAGAAGCTGCTGACATAGTTTCAGCGTCACCGTCAACAATACAGCTCCATTTACTTCACACTATGCTTAATGTATCAAAGAAAGACAACAACACTGTTATTGTTCCTATTCCTCGTCATCTCATACAATTGTTTACCAGCAATAAATCAGACAATAGGGATGTTATCAAGGTGAAACCACTGTGAAACAAACGAAGACTGACTGACAAGATGATCAGGGAGCATTCTTAGTATTAAACAATATATTCGCTTTGTAAATTACTGTAATTGTTCTTTTACTTATGTATCAGTTTATATATGAACTGCCTGCAATACTTATTCATACTGTTACATACATACATTTGACATTTGAACCCGAAGACCTTACAACCTTTTGCCATTTTAAAATATTATTTAACCTGTCTTTCTCTACCGGAGAAATATTAAGAACCCTGTGCTGCTTTAATGTTTTAATGCTAAAGAAATATATTATGATTAATAATAATCGTTTATATACATGTTATGTATTTGTTATTTACTTCTGGTATTTTATCCATTTTTTATACATGTATACATATATTTTTATAAAACAGAAAAAGTAGACATTAAACATTTAATACTGAATGAAAAAATCAGTGATTATTGGAAACATTTAGTAATCAAGAAAAAATGTTCATTATACAATAAGTAAGTAAGCTTAAGCTAATATTATTTATTAAAGTGAACAAGTTGGATAAATTTAAAGAAGACACTATCTTTATGTACTTATAATTTATCCAAAAATATTCGTTATGTTCGTTTGTAGAATAATCACTGTACATAATACATCCAAAATGGCATTTCTTTAGTGCAAAAATTGCTATGTTATTATATTTATTGTGTATAAAATAACCAAAATGACATTTCTTTAGTGCAAAAATTATTATGTTGTTATATTTATTGTGTATAAAATATCCGAAATGACATTACTTTAGTGCAAAATTTGTTATTTTGTTATATTTATTGTGTATAAAATATCCAAAATGACATTACATTAGTGCAAAAATTGTTATGTTGTTATATTTATTGTTGTAATTTTGCAATTATTCATGATCATTGTTATTTCTTTTCACATTTTTTTTATTATTTTGATGTTTAAATATTTAGTAATTTAAGATTTTTTATTTCTTTCATCACACGTGCAATTCACACCAAATGTTCCTTCAGGAATTTTGCACGATGTTTAATAAAACACATTTTTTAACCAAGTTTTGTTGGGTTTTCTTCTTAAAAGTCAAACGTACGTTCAAAAAGGATACATATAACCACTTTCATTACTTACAATGCGCTTTCTGAAAAAAAAATTTTGCTTTTTTAATAAAAAAAAAACATCGGTAAAATACCTTAATGTACTGAATGGGTAGATGGGAGTTACTGATACAACAAATTGAGCTTCAAGATTAAAGCTACATTTATTATTACAGGAGATAACGAATTGAAACGTACAACACGATGAGTACAAAACAAAACAGAACTCTTATTTCTTTGATTGTTGTATTTTTGTTTTTTTAATATGTTTTGCACATTTTTTGGTCAAGTCTATACCTTTTTTATTAATATATTTTAAGAATTGATATTAAATTTTGGATTAAATGCAATAAATGTATTTTCAGTGTCGTAAAATACAATACAAAACGAGACAAATCAGTGTTTCTAAGTTGTTTCATATCCGTGTAGACAATTTTGCAAGCACTTGCACATTTTCATTAAATTATACTTTAGAAATTGAAAGAATAGGTCTCAAAAGAATGGCAAAATTAGGGATCGAACCACAAACCTCTTATAAATAAGGTTATCACTTATTAGGCTGTGCTATTGCGGATGTGACGAGAACCTTTACATAGAGCTAGTGTGACTTTTCCAAAATTCCATATTAGTTATCGTAAACTATACGGACAGTGGGGTCGAATATTTAAATGAGTTCTATAATGTATTCATAATTGACTGGTATAAACTAATAAGAACATACTGTTACTATGACATGATATTATCACCCTTAGATATTTCCAGGAAGTCCTTGATTTTCAAGATCATTATAGAGACTAAAATCTGGTTATCTTTATGAAGGTTACCCCTCATTTATATTGGAAATATCCCTTACGAGTTTTTACAATTCAAAATTCGAAGTTTTCAATTAGAATATTTAATTGCTATTTTAAAGCTATTTCAATGTAAATCATTTGTAACAACTTTGTATTACGTTGTAATCGGAAGTGAATGATATCAGTTAGTTTACTTCTGGATGAACAATTTCTGAGTTTTTGTAAAACTGAATACAAAAATCCATATCACGTATATGTGAATCGGAAGTTCACATATCCTATTTAACTAGTATTTATTCAAACTAAAAAAACAAACGCAAACTTCCTTATATGAAATAATTCAAACTTCCTGTCGGGAATCGAACCTACAGTGGTAAGGTGCAAGTGGTTTGAGGTCAAAGACCAAGGACGCCTCCATCTTCATTTTGAAAATGTTTATAGACGGTAACAAATTATCATACAGTAAGATAATAATTTCAGTCTTACTAACGTTGAAACTTGAACCAATAAAAGCAAGCACAATGCCTATACCAAGAAACATTTTTATTATAAACTGACTATTTAAAGTATATGACTGATGAATGTGACAATATAAATGATCTCAGTATTGTTTTTAAGCACTAGACACTTTCGTGTATCACACTTTGTAACAACTAACGTTTTCTTCCAATAAAATAAGTGCCAGAATGCAGTTTAACATGTAGACCAACATTTGCATTTTAAATAAGTACATCATTTGATAGTTAAAACATAGTACATGTATTAATATAAGTTAAGTCAATGGGAATTTGATTAAGAAAGACATTTTGCAATATAAAACAAAGTCTAAGTATTAACTTTAAATCAAACTTTTATTGTCACCAGATATAACATCATGTAATACACTGTATATTGTTTCCATATTATGTAAATGTTACTGTCCTATGTCAGCATAAGCGTCTGGTACATGCTGGAAAGTTAATACAATCCTGAAAAAAATCATGATATATCTGAGATCAAGTAGAAAAGTACTTCGGGATAGACATGTCTTTGAATTCATAAAATCTGGTTCAGACTTTCCATCTTCTAAGGCCAAGATTTATTCGTTTTTCAGACCCCAGGTCAGATAATATGTTGATAATACTTGTCATTTTCAAAATATTTAGCCCTATCACTATAAAATAGTAATCAAAATTATTTTTTCTATTGGTTTAAAACACATAATTCTATCGTTTTATACAGAGACTTGTATACAATTTTATTAGATACATGCCTGATATGTCTTTTATATATATTTCCGAAGATTTTAATACAAATGCAAGTGTCTCATACAAATTATACAAAACAAACCTGTTTCCCGGAATATTTGTTGCCTGTTTCAAAATCTCGAAAAATTTCGGATAGTATCCAGCTATTTTGCTTGGATCTTCAAAGACCTCTTTTGATTGCACTTGGCAAACCATAGATGGTTCACGTGATCCTGCACAAAACGATGGTGTTTCGGTAACAAGGGTAACGAATACATTCTACAATGTAAAAACAGACGTATATTTTATAATATACATTGTTTGTACATGTATATACTGCGGGATGCGAGTAAATATAATCTAAAAGAAAAATAGACGTTTGATCTAACCGGATACGTTGTTTAAATATTAATTAACTGCTGATCCATTCGTTCTAAGTGAAGATACATATCCTTCTATTGAACTGGACTTTTATAATTGCCGATTTGTATAATTTTGTTGTTAAACTACGAAATTAATTAAAATGAATTATTATACAGTCAACTATCGTTATCACGACATCGCTTTTCTCGATATTTCGTTATCTCGATGAAATTTTGAAAGTCCCGATTTTCTTCCTTCTTTATCTATATTGGAAATATTTGTTTATCTCGATATTTCTATTTCGATATTTTCAGTATCTCGATGTAAAATTTCAGCCCCAACAGTTATTTTCACACTACTATCCTTTGTTTATCTCGACTTCGTCTGTTCCCTTCAGACGTGTGAAAAACACAATCTAGACGATAATTGCTCAATTAATAGCGCGTGTCATAATGACGATTATGTTTGTAACAAGTTTAGCTGTTTTTATAAAAGTTAATCTATTTAGCGTGTTGATTGACTTATGTCCACAATGAGTGAATTTTACATTCTTTTTAAATATTCGAACACTGTATCAATTCATTGTGACTTTAAATGTAAATGAAAAAGTGAAAGTATAGAAACGCTATCGTTTCAATATTGTTTCACAACATCACCACCAAATCAATCAGCGGTGGGACAATCTCGAGAAAGACCCGATAAATAACCCGGGAGGATATCCGGATCAACCATATCCGATATCCGATTCACTATATTGGTGTATTACTGAGTAAACATCACTATGTGTTTTTATCACAGACACCCGTATTTCCGCTGGTAAACATCCGCTTATGTTACTTTGTTAAATATTGACTAGGCCTATGAAAACAAGACATGGGGATATTATAGTTTGTTTGACATAAGGTATGCACATGTCTTTTGTAAAAATCAGTTTCGCCTTGTTCTAACCCTAATTTGTTTATCTCGACATTTCGTTATCTCGATATTTTTGGACGGTCCCAATGACTTCGAGATAACGAGAGTCGACTGTATATAATTTGTACAGCAAAGCTGTCGAATTCAGATTTCGTGAAATTAAATCTGTTTTACTTCTGAACACATGTTTAGAAAAAAGAGAGCAATCGGCAACAATAACACAAAAGTGATGAAAATCTTAGACACGTTTTGGTGGCATTCGTTCATGACTGGCAATGAAACCTCCCACTTGTAATGGCAATAATTTCTTAACTAGAAATTTCTACATTAAAATTTTGGAATCATGAACCTGAAGTATCAGCTAAATATAATAGCACTTGTGACATGTTTTTACAACTGACGATCGCTCAAGAGGAATGAAAATAAAAAAGGAAAGAGGATGAGTAAGTATTTTCCCTTTTTCCTTGTAAATCTAGTTAATACATCCATGCTAACCGGGCTCAACGTGCTTTATCTATCCCATTATAATGAGTGTTCTGGTTATACAGATAGGAGTAAGTCAGTATGAATGTAAAATGACATAACAAAGAATTTGATATCATCATGACTTTAATTTGCAATTTACATAACTTAAAAAGTCACTTTTTACAAAGATTATTACAATGTTGTTATTTATACATGTATTTTTAAAACAAAACAAATAATAACACCTACCTTAAACGGTCTATTCAATGTCTCCGAAATGCATCTTGCTACCTTTTCTTCCAAATTTACGTCTATATCCGACCGCTTTAAATTTGTGTATAGAAGACAAACTGGCATATTTATAAGTTTAAGGTGAAACACAATGGTAAAATGATGAACTACACTGAATCTGTTTATCTTATACAAATATCGCTATCTGCACTGACCTTGAATCTGATAGATAACATGTTACATAATTATCTATTTTACATACGCAGTAATGTGCAAATAACGCAGGAATTGTGCAGAAGTAAGCAGACTTGTGCAATTTAGTGGCTAAAACGATCCCCATTATAATTATGTAAATGGACCAATATTTCTTATTATACACCAAATTGAAAGAAATGAATTAGCGCATACGGTTGCTGAGACATTATACTTTAAACCTCATCAAACATATTTCCATGAAAATGTTTATTTCTCAAGACAATTCGTGAAAATGACAAACTGACTAGCGTATTGATGGCGATTTTCGTTGATATCTTTAAATTAATAACGTATATGTGGTTAAGTATTTACAAAATAAAATTGGTCAGGCGCTACCAATTAATTTTGTAAATACGTACTAATAAATTTAAACAAGCTTAGTGTTTTAAATTATTTTTATAAACAGTCGACTGACTAGACTGATTAACAGTTTGCCGTTTTACAAAAGTAAATGTGTTACGGATCATTAGAAATACTGCAATCCTATTGGACAAAAAATAATTTCAAACACTAATACGAGTTATGCCGAATTCGCGAAGAAAGCACTGAAGCAACGCCAGTTAACTTACTAAAAGTAGCTAAATCTTATTTTACCAGCTTCCTTTTATTGTTATACGACACTTGTAGTTTGACAAATGTCTTAGGCATACAGAATATAAAATAATAATGTTTTAAATTTATTAAATGTACATATTTAGTTGATGAAACACACAAGTCACCTTCAAAATCGGTAATCAGGTTGTCTTTCGCACGAATGATCTAAAAAAGTAGATCTAAACATATTCCTGGAAAAAAATGTAATGCTGGTTAAAGTATAATGTCGTAGCAGCCGTATGCGCTAATTCATTTCTTTAAATTTGATTAAGAATGAAATATTTTGGTTCGTTTACTTACTCTGTTATCCGTTTTGGTAATAGCGTTGCACAGATTCGGCGTTACTTTACGTTATTTGCACATTCCAGCGTTACTGGATGTGCACGATGTATAAAAAACAATGTAGTTGTACTATGATATTGAATTGGATGTGACTAGCCATCTTTATTAAACTGTGGGCTTTTCTTAAAATATTTAAAAGGCAATTTTTAAATCACACGTGGAATTTAACTTAAAGTATCAGGCGTTTCTCGCATGTTGACACGTAGCAAAAAATAAAGAACTGCTGTAAGCGAATCGTCCAAAAAAACAACATGCCGTTTTCCAAACTACGTTTTCGACATCGAAGGTCATTAGGATTTTGCAAGAACTGTTAAAGCGGCAGATTTCCTATCATAGCTTAATCGTTTTAACTGTTTGTTTAAGAAACAAGACTTTGCAAAGGAAAACATGACGTTTCTCTTCTAAACAATGATTTAGTTTGCAAGCCTCTTTGACTAGTAACATGTGCACACTTTGTATTATTGTCTCAATGAAACCTATGTCGGATATGTAAAGGACGAATACTCGAGTAAAATTTGTGTGAAGCTACATGTACCCGGCAAAAGTATTCAAACTTATCGACACATAATGTTTAAAAATAATGGTTATAATTTAAACTTTTATTTAGGAATATACAAAAAAAAACAAAAACAAAGAAAACATTGAAATCATTGGTTTATTTAATAGCTTTAATTGCATTCAGCCTATAATACTGCCACTGCCACTGCAAAATAAAAAAGAAACTTATAACACTGTTTAATCTTGCCCCATACTAATATGTAAATGTCATGACATTGGTCTTTATTAATTTAAATGTATCAACACCATAAATGTGTTATGGCTACAGTTTTTGAAGCCCAATACGTTTTATTGGCAACTGTGACTTCGAAATCAAGTGACCGAGAATTACTTCAGAAGTTATTGCCTGTTTGACTTAAAACAATGATTCTTCGGCATCGATGTTTCTATTTTTTCACAATGAAACATAAATGCAGTTCTTGAGATCAAACATCAATAATATCAAAGTTGTATGCCCCCCAAAAAAAACATGAAAGTGTAATTTGTAATATACCTTATAAATATTCTTAGTGGATGCATTAAATCTTGTATTGCCTAGAAAAAAAGAATAAATATATTCTAAAAGCTGAAGTCTCTCTTTCTTATTCATTAATCAGTAGAAAATGAAAGCAAACATATAAGTGAACCTACCTTTTCTCATGTTCAGGGCATCTGCCCACCTGTAGTCATTCGGACTGTTAATAAGAACACAGTTTTCGTGATCATGTCCATTAGGTTCTCCTGGTCCCCAGTTTGAGAAAGGTAACTAATTGCTTGCTTGTCGTCCACATATATTCTCCTTCTATTAGTTTGGCTGTTAGTCCTATCCAGAAATAGTCTACAAGCAGGCCAAAATGCATGTTAAATTGTATTTAAAACTTCAATGACTGTTTGAAAATAGTGTAAAATACTTTTATTTTAAATAATCCGTAATTAAAAATATCATTTTTAAAAACACAGTATTTAAAACTACCGTTTTATATTAACATGTTCGATGTATCAAAGCCAATCTGTGGTTTCATTTACACAAATATCATCCTGTTAGAATGGGGGAAATAGAAATGAATCGTAATGTATTAATCACCTGGACTTAAAAAAATTAACTTAACTTTAAATATCTTTAAATATGACGATGAACATGCATGTCTAGTTACATAAAGATATCGTTAGAGTTTGAACAGAATCATGAGTTATTTAAGTCCTAATTATTACATTTTTCTTTGATATGACATGTTATTATAATATATATTATTTTGAGATGAATGCATACAATTACTACCAGGAGACAGTGAAAACCAAAAAAAAAACTTTGGTTATTTTTTATTTTCGTATATGTGTAAATATATTTCATAATTTGGTCAATCTTTGTTTTATTTCTCTCAAATACCAGAATAACTAGTGGTACAAAAGTATCATTGTAAATCACCTGTTCGGTATTTTGTAAGGAGTTTTCTGATTTGCCAATAGCAATAAAACCGCAACGTTTCGCACAAGTATGCCTGATGGCGTAGAAAGCAATCGAAAGACCGCGGAGAGTTTGCAACTCGAGTTTCGTGTGTATCAGTCTAGTCCTCAAAAAATCTTAATTCGTCATGAAAATAACTAAGATCCAGTCATTCTGACGTTAGCGAGCGCCCATTGAAACGTTCATGGATGCAGAATGTTGGTTGTCTGGCCCTCATGCCCGCTCTATTAAAACCCTTTCTGATTTGTCTGAGAGGTCGCGTGTATCAGATGCACAGATATAAATATACAAATTAATATTTAGCTCCGTGTCAGATGCTACTGAGAGTTGTGAGTGGTCCCACTTAATGTATTTAGTAATATTATTTAGTAAATTCAAATGAATTTGACCCAGACTAGGCTAACAAACATGAAGTACCGAATCGTTGTACTACCAGGGATTTTTAGCACGGATGCGCTCGTTTGCTGATAGATATTTCATGACCGGGAAAGGCTACAGACTTGGGGTCAGTCTCATTTGTAAGCTTAATACAAACGTGAAATAGTTATAAAAGAGTTTTTAATTGTCTGGTTCGTAGGCTCGAATATGGAGCTTCCGACCTTCTCTTAACTTATAGCTATAAAGGCTAATTGATTTGGAAAATACCGATCTTAATGAAAAAACTTTGATAGCTATGTAGACTTTTGGGTTATATTGAATATATGTTTAGAAAATGCTTTTAATAAATCAAGTAGAGTTCTATTTGTAGGTGACATTAATGAAGACCAGTTGAACATAAGGAACCATAAACTTCGCGGTGTATTAATTTTAAATGATATGTATAGTGTTATTACGGAACCGACACGAGTCGCAGACAACTCGTCAACTCTTATTGATCCAAATGCTATCTCAGACCAGAATTTAATTCTACATTCGGGTATTTTTAAGACACCGAGGAATATCAGTTATCATTTTGGCACTGATATTTACAATGTATATTAAATTTAATTTACCGCAATCAGTACCTTACAAAAGACTTGTATGGTATTACAACCGCTCTCATTTTGAGATATTTCATAAGCGTTCGATAGAGCATGGCACGAAGGACTTATACTTGTGCAAATGCCATGCTTACATGTCAAAATTCCATGATGATATGTGTAAACAGCATGTTAACTTGTCGAATTATCGTTATGATATATGCATACAGCATGTTAACTTGTCCAAGTATCATTATGACTTGTGCAAACGATATGTTAACTTGTCCAAATATAATGGTGACTTGTGAAAGCGATATGTTAACTTGTCAAAATTTCATGATGACATGTGCAAACAGCATGTTAACTTGTCAAGGTATCGTGATGACTTGTGCAAACTCCATTCTAACTTGTCAATGTATAATGATGACTTTTGCAAATGCCATGTTCACTTTTCAAATTATCATGATAACTTGTGCAGACAACATGTTAATTTGTTAAAAAATCGTGATTCTAACGCAAAACACATGTTAACTTGTTAAGGTATTATGAGCATGTCATCACGATAATTCGACAAGTTAACATGCTGTTTGCACATGTCATCATAATATTTTGACAAGTTAACATGTCGTTTGCACAAGTCATCATGATACTTTGACAAGTTAACATTTTGTCTGCACATGTCATAATGATTATTTGACAAGTTAAAATGATGTTTGAACAAGTCAGCATTGTCTTTAGACAAGATATGATGTAAATTGCACATGTTAATATGCTTAAATGACAAAATAATATCATCATTTCACAAGATATCAAAATCATTGATAACATATAACAGTCACGTCGTTCCATAGTTTAACATGTAGACCAACATCATTTTCATCTTAAATTAGTACATCATTTGATAGTTAAAACATAGTATTAATATAAGTTAAGTCAATGGAAATTTGATTAAGAAAGACATTTTGTAATATAAAACAAAGTCTAAGTATTAACTTTAAATCAAACTTTTATTGTCACCAGATATAACATCACGTAATACACTGTATATTGCTTTCCATATTATGTAAATGTTACTGTCCTATGTCAGCATTAGCGTCTGGTACATGCTGGAAACTTAATACAATCCTGAAAAAAATCATGATATATCTGAGAGCAAATAGAAATGTACTTCGGGATAGACATGTCCTTGAATTCATAAAATCTGGTTCAGATTTTCCATCTTCTAAGGTCAAGATTTATTCGTTTTTTAGACCCCAGGTCAGATAATATGTTGACAATACTTGTCATTTTCAAAATATTTAGCCCTATCACTGTAAAATAGTAATCAAAATAATTTTTTCTGTTAGTTATAAATATTGGTTTAAAACACATAATTCTATCGTTTTATACAGAGACTTGTATACAATTTTATTAGATAAATGCCTGATATGTCTTGTATATATATTTCCGAAGATTTTAATACAAATACAAGTGTCTCATATAAATTATAATATAACTTATACAAAACAAACCTGTTTCCCGGAATATTTGTCGCCTGTTTCAAAATCTCGAAAAACTTCGGATAGTATCCAGATATTTTGCTTGGATCTTCAAACACCTCTTTTGATTGCACTTGGCATACCATAGATGGTTCACGTGATCCTGCACAAAACGATGGTGTCTCGGCAATTAGGGTAACGAATACATGCTACAATGTAAAAAAAAAACAGACGTTTATTTTATAATATACATTTTTGTACATGTTTATACTATACAAAATACGATACGAGATGCGAGTAAATATAATCTAAAAGAAAAATATATACGTTTGATTTAACCGGATACGTTGTTTAAATATTAATTAACTGCTGATCCATTCGTTCCAAGTAAAGATGCTTCTATTGAACTGGAGTTTTATTATTGCCGATTTGTATACTTTTGTCGTTATAATATGAAATTAATTAAAATGAATTATTATATATAATGCCGTGAAATTAAATCTGTTTTACTTCTGAACACATGTTTGGAAAACAAGAGAGCAATCGGCAACAATAACACAAAAGTGATGAAAATCTTAGACACGTTTTGATGGCGTTCGTTCATGACTGGCAATGAAGCCACCCTCTAGTATTGGCATAAGCATAATAGAAATTTCTACATTAAAATATTGGAATCATGAACCTGAAGTACCAGCTAAATATAATAGCACTTGTGACATTTTTTACAACTGATGATCGCTCAAGAGGAATGAAAACCAAAAAGTAAAGAAGATGAGTAAGTATTTTACTTTTTTCCATGTTGAATCTAGTTAATACATCCATGCTAACCGGGCTCAACGTGCTTTATCTACCCCATTATAATGATTGTTGTGGTTGCACAGATCGGAATGTAAAATGAAAACGCAAAAAATTTGATATAATCATGACTTTTACTTGCATGTACATAAACACGTCACGTTAAGTTAAAAAGTCACTTTTTTACAACGATGATTATGTTGTTATTTATACATGTATTTTTAAAACAAAATAAATAATAACACCTACCTCAAACGGTCTATTCAATGTCTCAGAAATACATCTTGCTACATTTTCTTCCAAATTAACGTCTATATCCGATCGCTTTAAATTTGTGTATAGAAGACAAATTGGCATATTTATAAGTTTAAGGTGAAACACAATGGTAAAATGATGAACTACACTGAATATGTCTAGCTTATACAAACATCGCTATCTGCACTAACCTTGAATTTAATAATACATTCAAACGAGTTATAAATTATTATCTATTTTACCCTATATACATGTATCAGAAACAATGTTGTACTATGATATTGAATCGTATGTGACTAGCCATCTTTATTAAAATGTAGGCTTTTCTTAAAATAGTTAAAGGCTATTTTTTTTTAAAAGACATGTCAAATTTATCTTATAATATCAGGCGTAATCTCGTATGTCCCGCGTAGCAAAGAAAAGAACTGCTATAAGCCAACAACATACTGTTTTCGAAACAACGTTTTCGTTCCAAGATCCGCGATATCCAATGTCACACGGAAATTTCAACAACTGTGAAAGCGTCAAATTAATTATCATTGCTTAATTTTATTAAAAGTTTGTTTTAGAAACAAGACTTTGCAAAGGAAATCACGATGCTTTTTTTTTTGTAAAAAATGATTTAATTTCATAAAAGAAAGCAAGCCTCTTTGAATAGTAATATAGGCACACTTTGTATTTTTGTCTCAATGAAACCTTTGTCGGATATGTACAAGAAGAATACTCGTGGAAATTTTGTAAAGCTACATGTACCCGGAAAAAGTATTCAAACCTATCGATACTTAATATTTAAAAGTAATATCTTATAATTTAAACTTTTATTTAGGAACATATAACGAACAAAGAATAACCTTGAAATCGTTGCTTTATTAATAGCTTCAATGACATTCAGCCTACAATACTGCCACCGCCACTGCAAATGAAGAAGAAACTTTTTAATTCTACAGATTTCCGTCATACTTATTAATGGAACCGTCATGACAAAAGTCCTTATTAATTTAAATGTATGAACACCGGAAATTTCTTACGGCTATAGCTGTCGCGGCCCAATAACGTTTACTTTGAAAGCCCGTGACCGCAAGCGATATTAGGAATGTTACTTCAGAAGTTGTTGCCAGTTTGACCAAAAACGAGGCGTCGGCATCAATGCTCAATGAAACATAAATGCAGTTCTTGAGTTCAAACATCAATAATATTAAAGTTGTATGCCAAAAAAAACATTAAAGTATTTTTGGATGCATTAAATTTTTGACTGCCTATAAAAAAGAATAAATATATTCCAAAAGCTCCAGTCTCTTTTTCATTAATCGGTAGAAAAAGGAAACACACATGAAGTGAGCCTACCTCTTCTCACAGATGTAATGTTCAGGCCTGTCACACCTGACATCTGCCCACCTGTAGTCATTCGGACTGTCAATGAGAACACAGTTTTCGTGATCATGTCCATTAGGTTCTCCTGGTCCCCAGTTTGAGAAGGTAACTAATTGCTGGCTTGTCGTCCACATATATTCTCCTTCTATTAGTTTGTCTGTTAGTCCTATCCAGAAATAGTCTGCAAAAAGGCCAACTGTATGTTAAATTGTATATTAACACTTGAATGACTGTTTGACCATGAAATCTTAACATGCTCGATATAACAAAGCAAAGCTGTGGTTTCATTTACACAAATACCATCCTGTTAGAAACACGAATAATAATGGGGGATATAAATGAATCGTAATGGATTAATCACCTGGACTTAAAAATTTACTTTTCTATTAATATGACGATGAACATGCATGTATAGTTTCTTAATGATATCGTTAGAGTTTGAAAAGAATCATGAGTTATTTAAGTCCTAATAATTATATTTTTTCTTTGATATGGCATGTTATTATAATATTGATTATTTTGAGATGAATTCATACAATTACTACCAGTAGACAGTGAAAACTAAAAAAGCACTTGGGTTAATTTTTTATTTTTGTATATATATGTAAATATATTTGATAATTTGATCAATCTGGCATTAAAATAACTCATATATCATAAGATTTGTTTTATTTCTCTCAAATATCAGAATAACTAGTGGTACAAAAGTTTTTACAACACTTTTAAAAAATGTTATGATAAAGTTGGAAGGGTTTGCCATTTTAAACTTTTCTCTTGACTTTCTGTTTACATTGGATTGTGATATAGTCATGACTTGAGTTACACTGTTTTAATGAATGACATATCAATAATCTACAATATGAGAAAAGTGTTGACTGTAAAAATTAGAAAAAAATATCTTGTACAAAGTCATACCTCCTAGAATTCTTGCCTTTTCAGAGATATAATTTTGCTCGTCCCATGAATCGACTTCGACAAGCATAGCACCAAAGAGTTTACACGATTGCTGACAAAGGTTAAGAAAATATACATACTTTATTATGTTATTGGTTAAACTTCTTACAAAGAGAAACAATTCAACCATTATGAAACATTTACTGACTAACAAATATAATTGTGTTTATAGCCGTAAAAAATTTCTTAACAATGACTAAAATATTTTTAAGAATTGTGAATATTTCTTGTACTGCGCTTTAAACGAGTATTTACTTTATACGTGTACATTTTAATCAAATAACGAACAGTCAGGCATAGTGGCAACTAAATGAATCCCTACTGGGAAGCATGTTGGTTTTCTACCATTTTCTACCATTGCCTACTTAACCAAAACTTATGTTTCAGTCCAATGAGTAAACACGGAAAAGAGCACATCATTGTGATAGGACACAGTGTTTCAGTATTAAAGACAAGTCTTTAGTGTAGCCCAAAGAAACATTACAGCTGAAATAAGGCACCGAAGCAGAACATGCTTCTTTTATGCGAGGATTATCTTGAAGTTTCCTCTTCGGAACATCTTCGTCGACTTCAATAAGTCATTATTAGTCTAATTAGAAATATTCCGGTAACAACTTCGTCTGGATAGCCTTAATGTAAGTAAATACTATAGTTCGGGGAATTTTTTGCTTGTTAACCGTTGTCCTGGCATCTTGACTCTTAGACGGACGTAAGGTCAAAAATCTTTATGATAGGACATTTTAATAAGACCATTTAATTTACTAGATAGAATGGAATTTACCGCTTTTTTTATAGTTGTCTGTATTAAACAGATATCATCTCGTTGCCCAGACAGACGAACAGACAAAGCTGCGACTATGTTCTTTGCCTTGGAGAACATAACATAAGGGCTCAATTTTCTGTAGCGACAATATATTATACAATACAACATACATGTGCATCTTCCCATGCCTCCTTTCCGTGGCTAAAAAAGTAGCATGACCCCCTGTGTACCTCAAAACCATCTGTACAATAAGTTCCACTGACAAAACCTGAAGTGTATGAAGTAAACTAGATTGATTTAAAAAAAGTTAGAAAATCAGTTTAATTTGTATTTACCTGTTTACTATAGCAGTTATTAGAAAGCAAATGCTTTATCTGAAATTAATAAATAGGTAATGGTAATTAAGAAACAATATTAAGATAATTAATCAAATTTATACCTATAGTGAGTTGAAGATAAAAAAATGCTAACAACACATCCATCTTGCGCAATTGAAAATAATTTAAGCCTTGATTTTACAAGTCTTATCAAAACCGGTGTTACACGAAAACCTTGATAACATGACTTATATAGCAATTTCTCTGAGACTTCCGTGTATTTTTATGCGCTTTCATTGGTTACGCCTGAAGGAAGTGAAATAAAATTTCAACAATTTGACTAAACAAAATTATGGTTTCGAAAATAACAGTATGATATTTACAGTTTTAAAAAAAAGCTTGCTAACAAGGTTAAAAAATCTTAGAGTTAATGCTCATACAAAAGCTCCGTTATGCCTGATATATGAACAATAATGAAAATTACAGGAACTGAAAGGAATGGCTTGTAATAAGTACTATTGATGAACAAAGCTATCATTTTGTTAGTTTTGTACCTTACTCCCCTAATGGTATATATCAACGACAAAAGAAATAAACAAGAGGGCCATGATGGCCCAAAGTCGCTCACCTGTATATAGGCCCCCGGAGCGGGGCCAGTTTAAACCCCAGGGCTTTTATTTGAACAAACTTGGTTGACACCCATTAGAAGATGTTTCATGCTAAACATCTAAGGTCTAGCTTGTTGGGTTTTTTAAAAGAAGATTTTTTCAAGTTTTTTTCTTTACACATATAGTTAAAAAACAATGACACACCTGGGGCAGGGCCAGTTTTGATCCCAGGGCTTTTATTTGAACAATCTTTGTAGACACTTACTAGACAATGTTTCATGCTTAATATCTGAACTCTAGCTATTCAGGTTATACATACATACATATATATATATATATATATATATATATACATACATACATATAAATATACATATATATATAGGGAAATATATATGGAAATATATAATATGTATATATCTAAAAAAAAAAAGTCGAGCTAATGAATGACCCCGGGGCGGAGCCAATTTTGACCCCAGGGCTCTTTTTGAACAAACTTGGTAGACATCCATTAGAACATGTTTCATGCTAAATATCTTAGCTCTAGCTCTTTGCATTCTTTAAAAGATTTTTTTTAAGTTTTTACTATATGCATATAGGGAAAATCAATGACCCCCTGGGGCGGGGCCAATTTTGACCCCAGGGCTTTTATTTGAACAAACTTGGTAGACATCCATTAGAACATGTTTCATGCTAAATATCTTAGCTCTAGCTCTTTGCATTCTTTAAAAGAATTTTTTTTAAGTTTTTACTATATGCATATAGGGAAAATCAATGACCCCCTGGGGCGGGGCCAATTTTGACCCCAGGGCTTTTATTTGAACAAACTTGGTAGACACCCATTAGAAGATGTTTCATGCTAAATATCTTAGCTCTAGCTCTTTGGGTTCTTTAAAAGAAGATTTTTTAAGTTTTTACTATATAAATATAGGGAAAACCTATGACCCCCCGGGGCGGGGCCAATTTTGACACTAGGGACAAAATTTGTACAACTTTGGTATTGGACCTTCAGATGATACCATAGACCAAATATCAAAGCTCTAGGCCATTTACTTTCAGACCAGAAGATTTTTCAAGTTTTCACTATATGTATGTAATGAAAATCAATGACCCCCCGGGGCGGGGTCAATTTTGACCCTAAGGCCATTATTTGAACAATCTTGATAGAGGTCTACTACACAATGTTTCATGCCAAATATCTAATCTGTAGCCTTTGCCAAATCAGAGAAGAAGATTTTTTTTAGATTTTACTATATACATACATATAAGGAAAAACCTATGACCCCCCGGGGCGGGGCCAATTTTGACACTAGGGACAAAATTTGAACAACTTTGGTAGAGGACCCATAGATGATACCATATACCAAAAATCAAAGCTCTGGCCCATGTACTTTCACACAAGAAGATTTTTTAATTTTGTGTTTTTTGAAATCCTTTTCTGGCCCTATGACCTACATATGCAACAGACCGGAACTATTTGAACAATTTTGAAAGGGGACCACCCAAGGATCATTTCTGTAAAGTTTGGTTGATGTGCAGTCATTGGTTTCAGAGGAGATGTTGTTTATGTTAAAAGTTGAGGACGCACGACGCACGCCACACGACGACGGACGACGGACACAGGGCCATCACAATAGCTCACCCTGAGCATTGCTCAGGTGAGCTAAAAACAGACAAGGGGAGGGAAATTGTCCGCTGCAAAAAGAAAAAGGACAGGGTATCTTTAAAGGAAATATCAGTAGGGGTATTGTCCTGCACTGAAATATGAACTACTACGCGGGTCAGGAAAGGGTCACAACTCAGCGTGAAGACCGTTTTATTGTCGCCCAAGCGCGACGTCAGCGTTATATTACGGCTACTGCCCTGCAAAATGACTTAAATTATGCCAGTGGCATAAGAAATGCTAGGCAAACAATCAGAAAGGGTTTTCATAGAGCGGGCATGAGGGCCAGACAACCAGCAATCTGCATCCATGAACGTTTCAATGGGCGCCCGCTAACGTCAGAATGACTGGACCCTAGTTATTTTCAATGACGGATCAAGATTTTTTGAGGACTAGACTGATACACACGAAATTCGAGTTTCAAACCTTTTGATTCCTTTCTACCCAATTGTAAATCACCTGTTCGGTATTTTGTAAGGAGTCTTCTTATTTGCCAATAGCATTGAAACCGCAACGTTTCGCACAAGTATGCCTGATGGCGTAAACAGCAATTTATATTTAGCTCCATGTCAGATGCTACTGAGGGTTGTGAGTGGTCCCACTTAATGTATTTTGTAATATTATTTAGTAAATTCAAGTGATTTTGACCCGGACTAGGCTAACAAACATGAATTAGTCTATGTTTAGTACCGAATCGTTGTACTACCAGGGATTTTTAGCACGGATGCGCTCGTTTGCTGATAGATATTTCATGACCGGGAAAGGCTACAGACTTGGGGTCGGTCTCATTTGGAAGCTTAATACAAACGTGAGATCTTATTGATCCAAATGCTATCTCAGACCAGAATTTAATTCTACATTCGGGTATTTTTAAGACACCGAGGAATATCAGTTATCATTTTGGCACTTATATTAATATCAAATTTAAATTACACAAATCAGTACCTTACAAAAGACTTGTATGGTATTACAACCGCGCTTATTTTGAGATATTTCATAAGCGTTCGATAGAGTATGACACGAAGGACTTATATTCAAATTAAAACAATACGGAATTAAAGGTCAGATTCTAAAATGGATTAATAATTATCTAAGTAATCGAAACCAAAAAGTCTTTGTTGGTTTCTCCTATTCTGAAAGTAAATATATAACTGCTGGGGTCCCCCAAGGCTCTGTCCTTGGCCCCTTATTATTTCTAATATATGTCAATGACATTGCCGATAATCTAATCAGTGTAACGAGACTTTTTGCAGATGATAGCTCTCTCGCAGTTTCCAGTTCTTTTATGGAAGACTGAAATAAAATTACGGAATGGTCGAAACGTTAGCTAGTAAACTTTGATCCTAACAAAACAGAAGTGTTATTTTTCACACTTGGGTCTGAAGATAAACCATCTCTCTACTTTGATAATGTTTCTCTTGATTATGTTACAGTCATAAACACTTAGGTGTCACTTTTAGTACTGATGGTAAATGGCATGACCACATAAACAATTAATGTCTGCTTCCAAAGTTCTAAGATCTATGAGAACATCAAAATACAAACTTAAACGAAAAACTTTAAATCAAATATACATTTCCTACATGAGACCAATCTAAGAATATGCGTCAATTGTCTGGGATGGATGCGCGGATTACGAGAAACACTCCCTTGAGAAACTTCAATACGAAGCGGCACGTATCGTTACTGGCCTAACAAGGTCTGTTTCTATTGAGCGTTTGCTTAATGAAATCGGTTGGGTATCATTGTCTGACAGACAAACTATTCAAAAACTCGTTACTTAGTATAAAGCTAAACAGGCACCTTAACGGATTATTTGTTAAACATTTTTCCAGATACCGTTTCTAACAATGTGCCTTATGTCTTAAGAATACAACTGTAGCACGTCGTACTCAAATTTTTACAAATTGATTTATCAGCAACGTCATTATGGAATAACTTGGATACCGACATTCATCCTCCCTTTAATATATTTAAATGCAAACTTAAACAGAAATACAAACCTCCGACAGTTCCTATTTTTTTCTGTATCGGGGATCGTCTACACTCGGTTTTACACGCTCAAATTCGTAACAAATGTAGCAATTTAAATGCTGATTTATTTAGAAATCATTTAAGAGAAAATGCATCTTGTGAATGCTTGTTGATCATACACCACAACGAATTCAACAATTTAATGCTACTCGCATTTTTCATCCATTAAATACGTGTACTCTTCTTTTTGGTAATATTACCTATTTCGAAGAAGGCAATTCATTTTTTTACATTACACCAACACACTAAATTGAGCTAGGTTATATGGCCACTTTCCAGCTTTTAATGGTGGTTGTGGATGAAAATCTCAGACGCCTCTCTGCACATTTTTTTCAGGCATGTACAAATAAAATTTATAACTAAATTGATACAAATCATGACATTTGATCAACATGTAATTATCAGCTGCGCTTCGGGCCATATACCTACCAAGGTCTGACCAACCAGTCCGTAAACTTGCATATTGCCCTCAAGGACATGTTTTATTTGTTAAATATTGTATAACACAATGGAATAATGTATAACAAAGTGAAACATTGCACTATTGTTTATACTAACGAGGAAATTCAAATATCCGTAATAAAAGTTATATTATCAATGAAGTTGGTACAAAATTTTGCTGCAACTAATGAATTTGAAAATGCTACATGGACAACACAGCATTTATTTGTATTCTTGGTTGTATACAAGCTAAATTTAAATAAATGGAGGTTTAGGATTCTCTGCGACTTCTTTATAAAATGACTAAAATGATGAACACAGGAAGATGTATTTATCAAGTAAAAATGTTGTGCTTTACTTATCACTCATACTTACCAAACCAAGGCCTTTTCTGTGTAATCCGAATGAAGTTCTCAGGGGACTTTTACACACTAAACTGATTTATTATAAGTAAACTATAAGTAAACGATATCATTCATAGTTTATTTATTACTTTGTTTACTACAAGCAAGTTGTAAAACAGTGTCTCGTCAGCCGACTATCTGTTCGTTGTCTGCGCTGGAAAAAATAGCGATTGAGTTTTTATTAAACCTTTTGACTTTTCAACTTCTTTAATTTATTGCCTCCAAAATATCAAAATAATTTTCTGGTATCAATATGATAGTAAATGTTCATATTTTTTATATGAAAGAAAAGATCAACATACGAGTTTAACAAACATGTGAGCTAACCTCTTTTCACATATGTAGTGTTCTGTCCGGGTGCAAATAACGTCTGCCCATTGATAGTTTTTGGATGGTGCGTAAACAACACAGTCTTCATCCCCAGCACCGTTTGGCTCCCCAACACCCCAGTTAAAGAACGCATCACCTGTCAGTACCTGTAAGCTAGACTCCCAGATATATTCTCCCTCAACTAGTTTGTCACTCAGTCCAATATACCAATAATCTGTTATAATATAACATGTCATCATAGAAATAAATTTGTGTTGAAAACGAATTCAAATAAAATGACGTGTGACTACTAAGTATATATTTTGTTAAAATACGTATATATTAGTCAAAAAGTTAATATGTTATTATAATATGTAGATTTTGTCATTGCTGAGTTCATTTTGACAGTGAAAAGAACTATGAATTACAAAAAGAAAAATTGGACAATAGCACTTTTAATGAAATGTCACACAACATGTGTATTTACAAAAAAAAAGTTTTCCACGAATAATATGTTTTATCATTTCTTATTTTTGAGACTTGACTCACACCGAATGTTGTCATTTTAATAAAAACATATGAAAATGTCTCAAATATTCACTAGAGGAACAAAATCACGTGTGTTGAATCAACAGCCCTCCTCGACCGACCCTTCCACATTATTTCTTCTAATTTAAATGTTCCACATCCATGGTGGAATTGAATATATTCTTAACCAGGGCCGTTAGAAAGTTTGACAGTGATTCTACACTGCGTGGAGCTCTCGCCGCATATATCTCTCAACGAATATACCTCTCGACGAATATATCTCTCGCCGCATGTATCTCTCATCGAATATACCTTTCGACGAATATACCTTTCGACGAATATATCTCTCGACGAATATACCTCTCGACGAATATATCTCTCGCCGCATATATCTCTCAACGAATATACCTCTCGACGAATATACCTCTCGACGAATATATCTCTCGCCGCAAATATCTCTCAACGAATATACCTCTCGACAATTATATACCTCTCAACGAATATACCGCTCGACGAATATATCTCTCGCCGCATATATCTCTCAACGAATATACCTCTCGACGAATATATCTCTCGCCGCAAATATCTCTCAACGAATATACCTCTCGACGAATATACCTCTCAACGAATATACCGCTCGACGAATATATCTCTCGCCGCATATATCTCTCAACGAATATACCTCTCGACAAATATATCTCTCACCGCAAATATCTCTCAACGAATATACCTCTCGACGAAATATACCTCTCAACGAATATACCGCTCGACGAATATATCTCTCGCCGCATATATATCTCAACGAATATACCTCTCGACGAATATACCTCTCGACGAATATATCTCTCGCCGCATATATATCTCAACGAATATACCTCTCGACGAATATACCTCTCGACGAATATACCTCTCGACGAATATATCTCTCGCCGCATATATCTCTCAACGAATATACCTCTCGACGAAATATACCTCTCGACGAATATACCTCTCGACGAATATACCTCTCGACGAATATATCTCTCGCCGCATATATATCTCAACGAATATACCTCTCGACGAATATACCTCTCGACGAATATACCTCTCGACGAATATACCTCTCGACGAATATATCTCTCAACGAATATACCTCTCGACGAATATACCTCTCGACGAATATACCTCTCGATGAATATATCTCTCGACGAATATACCTCTCGACGAATATATCTCTCAACGAATATACCTCTCGACGAATATATCTCTCGCCGCATATATATCTCAACGAATATACCTCTCGACGAATATATCTCTCGACGAATATACCTCTCGACGAATATATATCTCGACGAATATACCTCTCAACGAATATATATCTCGAAGAATATATCTCTCGACGAATATACCTCTCGACGAATATATCTCTCGACGAATATATCTCTCGACGAATTTATCTCTCGACGAATATACCTCTCGACGAATATATATACCTCTTTTCTATAATGCAGCTCCGAAAAAAAACGAAGATCTGAAAACGCAAACTGTTCTATTTTGACTGATGGAGCAAAGGTTAACTGTCTTATTTTAACAATATTAAGTTTTAAACTCTAACTTTTTTTAAAGTCAAACACATTGCACAAAGTACATGTACATGTATGCTCGTTCTTTTCTAGGCCATCGTTACAATCATCATCTCGATATATCAGACAATTTATCCCTACCTAATTAATAAATATTACTGGCCTCATATCGTGATAAACATACTCACCTTATGACTTCAATGCGATACTGACATATCAAATTGTCAAATTATCAAAACAAACGAGATAAGAAGTTTGTTTACCGTTCTTAACATTTAAAGGCATTTTAAAGCAGAACATTTTGAGCCAGTTTTGAACACGTCTGATGGGTTTAGGAAGACCCTTTAGAATAGACGTTAAAATTTCATTCGTTTTATTAAACAAATATCTCACTAAGAAGAAAGAAAATGACGGTGATGAAGATAACATATTCCTAAATAAAAATCTTTTGATTTGTGTTATATTGACAATATAACAAAAATTTAAAAAAATATTGTTTTTAATAAATTGATATAATATGACATGAATAACAAGATTAAAAATATTTTAGGTCAAATCAATACGACTAGCACCTTTGGATGATGAGTGGTCAGCTCAAGTTGTGAATCTAGAAGAAAACACATTCAGAAACAAAGATAAATGTTTTCCGATGACATTGACAAAATGTCAGTTAGTGGTCAGTGAGTGTCCGTAATTATCAAACTTGACTAAGGTATTTATCAAATTAAATTCCCGGGAGCTTTATTCGTAAGTACTCTCGATGAGCTTTATTTGTTAGTACTCTCTAGGAGCTTTTTTCTAAGAACTCTCTAGGAGCTTTCGTAAGTACCCCCCAGGAGCTTCATTCGTGAGTACCCTCGAGGAGCTTTATTCGTAAGTACTATCGAGGAGCTTTCATCGTTAGTTCGAGGAGCTTTATTCGTTAGTACTCTCGATGAGTTTTATTCGTTAGTACCTATGAGGAGCTTAGTTCTTTAGTACCCTCGAGGAGCTTTATTCGTAAGTACCCTCGATGAGCTTTATTCATTAGTACCCTCGAGAAGCTTAGTTCGTTAGTACCCTCGAGGAACTTAATTCGTTAGTACCCTCCAGGAGCTTTATTTGTTAGTAATTGTTCGTTTAAAACGAATGCAAATAGCTGTTTGAGATAGCTCTAAAGGAGGTTTTTGTTTAAATATCACGGATGAATCTACACGGAGAGCTGTATTCGGCGAAAGTTATATTCGGCGTTTCAATACCAAAAATATCATTTATTGTGTCAGCATACTTCCGAGGGTTCGTCCTTTCGAAGATAGGTAAGCGTCTTCGTCGGCGGAATTGACCTCAACCAGCATTGCGTCGAAGATTTTACAAGATTGCTGAAATTTTCGTTACATAAATATTTTATCATTTTAATGTTTTATGTAAGAATTCAAAACCAATTTGATGATACATTGTATCAATCAGTAATGCTTCTTAATTGAGTACAGAAAACATAAGTAAGAAAAGACAAACTCACAATTATACGTCCTATATCATTTTATAAGCGTTATGTTTAAGTATATAATTTATACATGAAATATCATTTAAAGTCAAAAGAAGAAAACATTATTTTGAACATACATAGGCTCCTGTCCATGTTTCTTTATCGTGGCTGAAAAATAGCAGGAGCCATGGTGTGGCTCAAATCCATCTGGACACGATGTTGCACTGAAAATCCCTGCAAATATTCTTATTTGTTCTTAATGATTTTAAAAGACGTTTGATAATTGATCTCGACCCTTAACAAAGCCTTCATGTTGTGTGATATTCTGTATCAAGGTTTAATAATAATAATAATAATAATAATAATAATAGCTTTATTTAAATCAGTAACAAATGATAATATAACAACTTACAAACTAAATATTACATACGGTACATATTTCTTAATTCTTAATATGAACTTCTGAATAAACAACACTGTTGAGACTGCATAATAACTATTACAATTGGAAAACACTCCATTCAAGAAATGAATGTCCTTACTATAACCAGTTAACATTTCATTTCATTTATTGGCAATCGGCACAATAAATGCCTTTGAACAACTGTAATAATAGCATAATATTGTTACATTG